CTTCACTCAGTCCTTACCAATATTTTCCCCCTCAAAACTGCATTCAATCCTCAACATTAGTTGGTTGGTTGGTTGGTTATGTGCCGTGGAGTCGGTTCCGACTCATAGCGACTCTGTACAGGGTTTCCGAGGCTGTAAATCTTTACGGGAGCAGAAAGCCTCATCTTTCTCCCATGGAACTGCTGGTAGTTTTGAACTGCTGACCTTGCAGTTTGCAGCCCAATTCGTAACCACTATGCTACAAAATTAGTAGATGCACATACTAATTCCTTTTTCTGCTTAGAGCAGAAATTGTGAGATTTGGCTTTGTCTTCATAAACTGACCTGCTTTGCCCAGGGAAATCCAGTTTGCACCTGCACTGCTAAATAGTTATAAGTCAATAGTTATAAGTTAATAAAACACCTCTGATGGCACTAAGAGCCCTGTGGCACAGTGGTTACGTGTTTGAGTGCTAACAGAAAGATTGGTGGTTCAAACCTACTAAGTGATCCATGGGAGAAAGATGAGGCAGTATACTTCTGTGATGATAGTTAAGTGCTGTCAAATCATAAAGACCCTGTGAAGGTTTTCAGAGGAGAAACTGGCTGGTTTGAACAACAGGTCTTGTGGTCAGCAGTCCAGTGCTAATTCTACAGCTCCACACTGGGACTCCCTCCAAAACCCTATAGAACAGTTCACCTCTGTCCTATGGGATCACTACCAGTTGGAATTCACTCAAGGGCAGTGGGTTGAATTGTTGTTGTTATCTGGTGGCAAAATGATTAAGCACGTGACTGATAAACAAAAGGTTAAAATACACCCAATAGCAACTCAGTACAAAGACCTATGAGGCAGTTCTGGCAGACCATCACTTGTCTGTCAGTTTGTCGTATTGTGGTGGCATGTGAGTTGCTGTGATTCTGAAATCTATGCCACTGGTGTTTTAAATACCAGCAGGGTCACCCATGGTGGACAGATTTCAGATGAGCTTCCAGATGAAGACAGACTAGGAAGAAGGAGTGAACTACTTCCAAAATTTAGTCACTGAAAACCTTATGAATAGCAGAGAAGCACTATCAGATATAGTGCCCGGAAATGAGCCCCTAGGTTGGAAGGTACTCAAAATGTGACTGGGGAAAAGCTGCCTCCTCAAAGTAGAGTTGACTGTGATGACGCGAATGCAGTAAAGCCTGTGGGAGTAAAGCCTGCAGGACCTTCATTTGCTGATGGGGCAAAATTCAAAATAAAGAGAAACAGCTGTAAACATTCATTGAAAATTGGAACATGGAATGTACGAAGTATGAATCTGAGAAAATTGGAAGTAGTCAAAAATGAAATGGAATGCATAAACATTGATATCTTAGGCATTAGTGAGCTGAAATGGACTGGTATTGACCATTTTGAATCTGATGACCACATGGTTTACTATGCCAGGAATGACAAATTGAAGAGGAATGGTGTTGCATTCATTGTCAAAAAGAACATATCCAAAACAGTCATGAGGTACAATGCTGTCTGTGATAGGATAGTATCCATGCGCCTACAGGGAAGCTCAGTTAATACCATTACTATTCAAATTTACACACCAACCACTAAAGCCAATGAGGATGAAATACAAGAATTCTACCAACTTCTTCAATCTGAAATCGATCAAACATGCAATCATGATTTATTGACCATTACTGGTGATTGGAATGCAAAGGTTGGGAGCAAAGAGGAAGGATCAGTGGTTGAAAATATGACCTTGGTGATAGAAATGATGCTGGAGAACGCATGATAAAATTCTTCAAAACCAATTATTTGTTCATTTCAAATATCTTCTTTAGACAGCATAAGTGACGACTATACACATGGACCTCACCAGATGGAATACATAGAAATCAAATTGACTACATCTGAGGAAAAAGATGATGGCAAAGCTCCATATCATCAGTAAAACAAGGCCAGGGGCAGACTGTGGAACAGACCACCAATTACTCGTATGCAAACTCAAACTGAAGCTGAAGAAAATGAAAGCAAGTCCATGCGAGCCAAAATATGGCATTGAATATATCCCACCTGAATTTAGAGATCATCTGAATAACATATTTAATACATTAAAAACTAAAGACCGAAGACCAGAAGAGTTGTGG